AATAATCAATATATCTATGTTTTTACTTGTATGTTGGGAGTTAAAAATGTGCATCAGAATACGATCATAAGTGGGAACGCGTGAGTACACATATATTGACATTGTTTTATGAGTAGGCCATCTATCTTGCATAAATCAGTTTTTTGCAATACTCAACACCTTCATCTGAGTTTCGTCCTGCCGAAATGCTCTCTCAATATAGCTTACACTTTACTAATACTTATAGTTGTATTCCACATACATTGATACTCAGTGGTACATATCCGTATAGATCCATGCTCGTGCACACCTCTACCAGCTTACATTCACCTTCATTCAACTCTATCTTGATCCTATCCTGCTGTACAATGGCACTCTTGCCCAGGTATACAACTGGCATGTAGATATGCACAACGCCATGATTCCTCAGCACCGTTTGAGTTCTGTGGTGCATGTACTCATACATCCCTACCAATACTCATTTTTCTTACCTACCGTGCTCTCCCCTCATCGCTTGCCCAGGTATACAACTGGCATGTAGATCTGCACAATGCCGTGTTTCCTCAGCACTGGTTGAGTTATGTGGTGTCGCTTACGGGGCCTCCAATGCTTATGCGCAATGAAACATCGAGCGCCACTATGGGGACAGTGCGCGACGCTATGTGGCGGTTTGCGCGTGCTATACCTATTGGCAGGTTAGTCTCATGACAGTGATTATAATATGTATGTTTGCTAGTATGATTATTGGGCATAAGTGTCCATGAGAGTAGCAATAGTAGTGTATGTTTATATTTGTTCACTATTGGGATTTATCCGTAGTAGTTAGCGGCATATTGAGTGCACAACGTCATGTGGCGGTTTGCGCGTGCTATACCCATTGGGAGGGGAGTTTTATAACAGTGCTGATAAGAAGTCCATTCCTTGTCACATAGCTCTATAGACAGCTTTTGCTTATGGTTTGAGTACCCATTGGGAGGTGAGTTTTATAACAGTGCTGATAAGAAGTCCATTCCTTCGTCACATAGCTCTATAGACAGCTTTTGTTTATGGTTTGAGTACCCATTGGGAGGTGAGTTTTATAACAGTGCTGATAAGAAGTCCGCTCCTTCGTCACATAGCTCTATAGACAACTTTTGCTTAACATCGCTAGCCACTAAGTAGCAGACACCAGCACCATTGTTTTCAGTTGATTCTTTATTCTCACACATCCTATCAATTCATTACCGTATTCTCTCTCACACACCGCTACCACACAGCTTCATCGGCGGCTTTAGTCCGCGCTTTGAGCGCAACGTGCGCATGTCGCTGACCACTCTGATTGCAGGGACCAGCATCTTTATGGGCCTGGTCTATGCGAGACGATACGCTATTCGGGCGTTGCTAGGTTACACAAAGTGGATCTATGAGGGCCGAAAAAAGAGCTGGAAGACTAAAATTTGGTATTTAAAAGATAGAATCTGAGAGTTTGAAGCATGGCATGAACTGGTTTCCTACTCCAAGGGTTTCCCTCGAGTTTATCTTGGGAGCGTGCAAAGAGAGCTGTGGGAGTACTGAGCATTGTAGTATATTGTCGTGTGCATATTAGCATCACCACATTCGGCATCACGGAAAGTAGTTCGCACTTTAAACGGACAATATCTAGTTCAGTTTGTACCTTTCAGTCACGCTAGCATTATGTTCGTCGTGCGTACGCTCTGTTATCATCTCACAATACGGATTAGCCCTTGCTATAGTCATATAACCGCAATCGACTTTACACTGGTATTCCATATTTTCCTTACAATTGTACCTTTAATGTCCGTGGGTTTTTACCGTTAATGTCCGTGGGTCTCAATCTAGTTTGCTCCAGTACTTGCACCTCGCGGCAGGTAAAACTTCAAAACCCTAAAACCCAATTTAATCCGTTCCAATAACTTGTACCTTGCAATGTGTAGGGGCTTCGCGATCAAGATGCTCCTGGGCAACGGCGCGTTGATGAACAGTTACTCCACTTCATTGCCTCGGCTTCCTGTATGTGCGCGAGCAATTCCGTAGATAAGATGAATATATATCTCATACATTTGTGAGAGGTAATGTGAATGTATAGGGCTATACAT